ACCCACCCGCCTGGGCCCGTGAGTGAGCACACCTAGTGAGATGGCCCCTCCCACCCATGGGCAGGGAGACCAGGGTTCCGAGCGGGACCGGCTGCCACGCAGGTCATCCCAGGCCCTGGGGTGATTCAGCTCAGCGCCACCCCTTCCCTTCCCCCAGGAGCGACAGCCAGCCCGGACCCTCCGTTTCTCCCATTCGGGGGTCCCTCTGCACCCACAGGAGCGTGCAGCCCCTCTCGCCATGGCCAAGTTCAGCCTGGCCATCCCTTCAGGAATAGCCGGTTGTTGGGGCCGGATGCCCTCAGCCTGTTTGTCCCCAGACTGTGCAGAGCAGGAGAGAGACAGGGTGAAACCCTGGGTGGCCGGCACACGGCACACACGGCCTCTGTGCCACTCCTGATGGTCAGGGAGGCTCCGGTTTCAGAACCGCCAAGTCCCTGGTGTTCGGGGCGAGGGGTGCTTCAGCTCAAAGAGGGAGGGGGCCAGGTCCCCAAGTCCACAGACCAGCTCGCCTGCCGGCCGGCGAGGCCCACACACACATCCCTGGGAGGTCACCTGTGACGTCCGTCTTGTAGGTAAGTAGGTGGAGGCCCAGAGCCTGTCCCATGACGCGAGGCTGGCGTGACTTGGGAAGCCCAGCCTGTCCTGGGAGCAGAGGAGCAGGCTTGGGGCCGTCTCAGGCGCAACACGGGCACGGGAAAGGCCGCTCCCAGGCTGCAGTCCGTGCACGTGGGCATCCTGCGTGGCTCCATGTCCACTGCTGCTGCCTCAAAACCTTAATTTTTGAACAAAAGGTCATGCACGTTCACTCTACCCTGAGCCCCGCGAAGGACGTAGCGTGTTCTGGTCAGAGGACCCCCGGGCGAGGCCCTGCAGACAAAGGGTGGCCCCTCTGCCCATGGGGTCAGAGTCTGGGCATTCCCCTGGGGCTGGCAGAGCACCCTGGTGGCTGCTGATGGAACGGGCTGGCCGGCGCTTGGGCGGGGGGTGCCCGGTGCAGGCCGGGATGGGCCGGGCTCAAGGGGGCCAGGGCTTCCACGTGGAAAGCCAACGTTTCCTTTGTGAAATGTCAGAGCATGTGTGTATTCTGGGATTGAAACTGCTTCCTTGAGATGTTCATGGTTAAGAATTCAGGGTGGCTTGTCAACACGGTCTCCATCTGTGCGTGTTGTGCATGCGTGTGTATGCACGTGGGAGCATGAATCGTGTGCGTCGTGAAGTCATGTGTGTGCACGCATGTGTGAGCACATGTGTGTGTGCGCGTGTAGCCGCGCGTGCACGTGTGAGAATGTGTGTCCAGGCATGAGTTTGTATGTGCACACGCGTAGTCATGTGTGTGCATTTTTGTGAGTGTGTGAACATGCATGTGTGTGTGTAGCCATGTGTGTACATGCCCAGGCATGAGTATGTGTGTGCAGTCATGTGTGTCCATGTGTGGTCATGTGTATGCACATGTGAGGGCATGTGTGTGTTCAGGCATGATCATGTGTGCATGTGTGTAGCCATGGGTGTGCGCATGTGAGCATGTGTGTCCAGGAATGAGCATGTGTGTGCATGGTGTAGTCATGTGTGCACATGTGTGTGAGCGTTGAATGTGTGTGGTCATGTGTGTGCATGTGTGAGCGTGCATGTGTGTGCGTGCATGTCCAGGCATGTCCAGGCGTGTGCGTGTGTGTCTCTCCCTGGGCTCAGTTTCCCAGCAGTCTCGCCTCCCTCGGTCTAAGAACGTGAGCAAAGGCAGGGCAGGGCACGGCACCGACAGTGATTTGGTGCCGCTGGCCGGCGGATTCCCGAGCCAGCCTGGCCGCGCTGCCCCCGAGGACCGCCGGGGCCGCCCGAAAGGCGCCCGGGAGTGTCCGGCGACCCTGGGGATGCTGCCCGCTGGCGCCAGCGGATCCCGGGGAGGCACAGGGTCCCGCTGGACCGCCGGCTCCCATGGTGGTAAAGGCACGGGGAGCTCGCGGCCACCAGGTGGCGCCATCTGCTCCACAGGACCCAGATCACCCGTGGGGCCCAGGCTGCAGGCCGCGGCTTCGGGAGAAAGCCCTGCAGCCCCAGCAGGAGGTCGAGGCCGCAGGCGACACCGGGCCGGGGGCGCTCCGACTGCCCCTGCCCACCCAGGAACTCGCAGCCCTCCTGCCTGGGCCAGCTCCGCCAGGCGGGCAGTCCTCCCTGCTGTCTGACTTTGGCTGTCTCTCTCCCGTGGCCCTGCCAGGGAAGCCCACTCTGGGCGTTAACACCGGCTTACCCCGGGAGGACAGACCAGCCTGTTCATCCTAAGTCACGCCCCCTGCCCAGCCACCTCCTCCGGGAAGCCCTTTGCCCGCGGCTCTGGGAAGCCAGACCTGTGCTCCCCTTCCCGGGGCAGCAGGTCCACTCCCGCGGCTGTTCCCTACCTAGGACGTCCCCCCTGCAGCCCCACCCAGCTCGCCCTTCAAGGCCCGTGTGAGCCCGCCTGCTCCAGGGAGCCCTCCCGGTCACTCCAGCTCCCCCAGAGGTGCCGTGACGTGTGCTGACCTCCACCCAGGGCTCCCTCCTCATCAAGTCCCTCCAGACTCCCCGCCAGCTTGGTGCCGGGCACCCATGTGGACATGCTGGGTCGTCCCCTCCATGGCGAGTCTACCTGGAGTCTTCCGTGTTCCGTGGGCACACGCTTCCGTGGCCTTCCTCCGGAGAAGCAGGCCTCCCCAAGCGCTGGGAGTGGCTGCCCCAGGGCACCGTGTTCCCTCCCGTGGCCCCCCCGCCACCAGGCCCTCCTCTGGGACCCTGGACACCCAGAGGCCGGTCCAGCTTGGTGGGCAGCCCAGCCTCTGTGCCCGGAAATCCTCCGAGAGAAGGTGAGGGAGACAGGACGTCGGGGACCTCCCCCCGTGGCTGGACCACTGGCCCTCAAGGGCTGGGAACCCCCTGGGGGCGGAAGGCTTCCCGAGGCCCAGGGCCTGAGTGCTGGGCTCCGCCCACCTCCTGGGCCTCGGGGCTGGGGGCCGCCACCAAGCCTTGTGAGAGGACGGTCCCACTTGAGCTGACCCTCGGGTCTGGCAGGAGGCCTCCGGGCTGGACTGAGTGTGCACCGGCTCAGCTGCCGAGGAGGTGTCCTGAGTCGTGGAGGTGCCTGGCCTAGACGAAAGCCCCTCTGGCGCTGCTGGCCTCCACAGAGCCCAGCGCGAGGAGGGTGAGAGCTGGCAGGGGGGTGCCCTGGCAGTGCTGGGCGGGGCTCCCAGGGGACCTTCTGTGGGCCAATCCGTGCACACTATTGCCGCCCACAGGGCTGACCCAACCCCTTGAGTCCTTGGTTTCCCAGTGAGCACACCCCTCATCAGGTGGTCCATAAGCCAGTGGCCAAAAAGTCCTCACTGCTGTCTAACCTCAGCGTCTCTTGCTTTAGTGGACCCCAAACAGGGCCTGTTGTCCGAGCTCCCTTGCCCACTCCAGCCAGTCAGTCCGGTCAAGTCCCTGACCTAAGCCCCACTCCAAGTGGCCCTTCCAGGCCTGGGCGTCGCCCCGAACGCTTTATCTGTGGCTGGTGGTCAGACGTGGAACCGGTTGATGCTTAATGAGAGAACCTGTCTGCCAGGGTCTGGCTGCAGGGCTGGCCGGGCAGGACTTCCGGGAGACAACCAGGCCCTGAGATGCTGCAGTGAGGAGGGTGTGTGTGCAGGCGTGTCCCGGCTGCTCATGGGTGGCACTGGGCATGCAGGGCCATGCCTGTCCCTCTGGTGGGTCCCCTGTGCCGGGAAGGGCTGGCCTCCTCGTGTGACCCAGCCTGGGAGCTGAGGTGGAGGTGGCACCGGCAGGAACTTGGGCAGGCAGGCGCCCTGCCATGGGGTGACATGTGGGCGGGGCTCCATGCCAACCCCAGAGTGCCCTGAGCTGCGTGCCCGTGCACGCCCCAGCTGGCAGTGCCAGGGGCTTTGTGCCCTCCTGGGATGAGGGCGCATCCAGCCAGATGGGTATGTGACCGTCCAGGGCAGGAAGGAGGAAGCCCAGCGGAGCTGTTGGTGGCAGCCAGCGTGCGGCCCCAAGATGGTGGCCGGGCAGCTCCTGGAGGCCCTGGGGGGCCCTGGATGGAAGTTCCTATGAGGTGGCCCGGGAACATGGAGGCTGGCGCTCATGGCCAGCGTGAGTGGTTGGCGCATGGCCAGGCTTGCACTGGGTCCCCGCAGTCCTCCCACCCAAGCTGACCCCCCGGCTCCACCCCGTTGGGGTGCGACACCCCCTTTGCCTGGGGCCAGGGGCAGCCACGATGGGAGGCTCTGTTTGCCACAGCTCTCGGGGATTGGGGTGCCCTGTGCCCATTCGCTGGGTCTCAGCCTGTGTGTGCCCCGCCAGCCGCCGTCCAGGCTCTGTGCCCTCCTCATTAGGGAGGCTGCAACCACCACCAGGCATCAGGAGGCTATACCTACCTCCAGGCATCGGGGGGCTGCACTCACTACCGAGCATCAGGGGGGCTGAACCTACCTCCAAGCATCAGGGAGGCTGTACCCACCTCCAAGCATGGGGGACCACACCCACCTCCAAGCATCAGGGAGGCTGCACCTACCTCCAGGCATCGGGGGGCTCAACCTACCTCCAGGCATCAGGGGAGCTGCACCCACCTCCAAGCGTGGGGGGCTGCACCCACCTCCAGGCTTCAGGGGGGCTGCACTCACCTCCAGGCTTCAGGGGGGCTGCACCCATCTCCAAGCATCAGGGAGGCTGACCCAGCCCCCAAGCATCTTGGTGGTTGCTCCTCTGGACTCCTCTGTTTCACCCACTCCTGAGGACACCAAGGACACACCCTGACCCAGGTGCCTGTGCAGCCCTCCCTGCACTGCCAAGTCGGTGACCTGCTCCCTCTAGGCTGGGACCTGGACTCTACGACTGTCTCCAGGGGGCAGGCCACCCGCATCCCCTTGCCGCACCTGAGCCCCCTGTGGACACGGCGGCCTCTGTGCCAGGCCCAGGCGGAGCCAGGCCTCACCCCTGTGGTGTGGGTGCCTGGTCTTCCCATGTGTCACTGCTGTGCATCTGCCACCCTATCCCTGCTCCCTGAGTGCCCATCACTCCTCAGCTGTGCCCACTGCCACCCGCATGGCCCAGGGGTCTGGACTGTGCCCCAGCACCTCGGAGGCTCAGCACCCACTATAGCTTTCATGTCAGCATACCTGCACCTTGTCATTCTGAGTGTCAGGGTCTCTGAAGCCATCAGCCTGCATATTGGGGTCTCCGCACCCCATTATTCTAAGGGCTGGGTCTCCGCACCCATCAACCTGAGCATTGGGGTCTCTGTACCCCATGATTCTGGATGTCAGCATCTCTGCATTCCATCAACCTGAGTCTTGGGAGGTCTGCACCCCACTATTCTGAGTGTTAGGGTCTCTGCCTCACCAGCCTGAGCCTTGGGGTCTCTGTACCCCATTATTCCTCATGTCGGCATCTCCGCACCCCACCAACCTGAGTGCCAGGATCTCCGCTCCCCTTTATTCTGAAGTCTGGACCCCGCTCTGCTGGGGAGCTGAGCTGTCCAGCCCACAACTGCCTCTGCACCCCCACCCAGGTGCCCCTGGTCCTTTGCTTGCTGATTGTCTGGGGTTCTGCAATCTGGACTCGTGCTCCAAGGATTAGCCTGGCTCTGGTCATCTGTCCTCTTGGCGCTTCTGCAGCCCAAACCCTGATTGCTTGAATACCTGAGAAGCCGGGGGCCGGGCGCCCTGCTTGTTGGAGAATCTGGCCACCCGGACACCAGCGCTCTGGGCATCAGGTCCTCTCCCTGTGGGATTTGGCGTCTCTCTCTCCCACCACCTGAGGGTCTCACCCCGTCTCCTGTCCCCTCAACATGAGACCAGCAGGCACCGAGCACCCAAGGTCTGCGTCATGGGCTCCCACATCCACAGAGAGTCTGGGTGACATCCTACAGACCTGCCAGGGTATGCCTGCTCCCCTGGAACAGAGATAGCCCTACCCACGTCACCTGCAGGGACACACACCCTCCTCGTGAGCATGGACTCCCGGAGGTCTGGACCCACCTCACGGGAAGGCTCAGCCGCCTCAAACCTCATCACTCCAACTCTGGGTTCTGGTCTTCTTCCAAGCATCTGGCAGTCTGCTTGATTCCCACCTCTGACCGTCTAGGCAAAAAGGACTTGGACCGTCACTCCGGGGGGCTCTGGGTGCCCTCCTGGCCTCTGAGCACCGGTGTCACCTCCCCATGAGGACTAGGGCTCCATGCACCCAGATGCAGCGTCCCCACGTCCCCCCTCGTCCAGCTGCCGCGTGTCTGGAAGGTGTGTCCTCCCTCTGTCCATCGGGGTCTTTGGTCAACCCCGCACCAACGGCCCCACACATGGGCCGTGTCCCAGGTCAAAGCCCTCGGGGCCAGGTCTCAGTTTCTGAGTTCTTCATATGAGGGTCTCTGCACCCTGCTATTTTGAGTGTCTGGGTCTCCGCACCCATCAGCCTGAGCGCTGGGTCTCTGCACCCCACTCTTCTGAGTGTCTGGGTCTCTGCACCCATCAGCCTGAGTATTGGGTCTCTGCACTCCACTCTTCTGAGTGTCTGGGTCTTGACACCCCCTCCGCCGGAATATTGGGGTCTCTGTACCCCATTATTCTGCATGCTGGGGTCTCTGTAGCCCATCAGGCTGAGTGCCAGGGTCTCTGTGCCCCTTTACTCGGAGTATCTGGGCCCAGGTCCTGCTCTGCATGTCCGAGTCCCCGGGGCCTTTCACCGGCTTCGCCATGCGAGCCCTTCCCCTCATCCCCACGCCCCTGCGCCCCGTTCATGGCTGCACTGGGCAGCTGTCGTTCGTTGTTGGTGTCTGAGGGTCTTGCAGTCCCAGCAGCACCTGAGCGACATGGACCCCACGCATCCAAGCCTTGGGGTCCCCGTGCCCCAGGACTATGCACAGGCCAGTGTTTTGCACACACGTGTCCAAGCACCAGGTGCACACCTTGGCCGT